ATACATACATATTTTTCACATGACTTTAAAATATATGTATATTATGTCCCTTAACAGACAGGTCCCAATATGAGGCTGAAAGGAAGGGGAAATAAATTATCTTGAATAAGGCACTTCTATGGACATCAGAGCAACAATGCTGTGTGTGTGGCTTTCTTTAACATTCTAAGAATAGAACTTAGCCTAAAGCAGAACCTCGATACATCTTGATAAGAGACCATCAGATAAGACTGATTCTTGAGCTATTTCTATAGTGTATAATAAGATCATGTAATCAGGGGAGAAAGAATGCTCGTCTTTTCATTTTGGCCTGTTGAGTTAGAGCATCCTACAGTTTGCTTTTGAGTGAAGATGCTCAGAGTCTCAGAAACCCTTGATGGAAAAATGGTCCTTCTCAACCTCTTCAATTAAGTGCATAGCTTTCAGGAACCCACATAAACGGGTGAGAGAAGGTAACAGTTGCCTTAGTCAGTCACATCAGCCAAATCAACCTTTATAGATCAGGAGATATAAGACATGCAAGTCAGATCCTGTGTCATTCTAGAGAGGCCCATAGTAGAGAGGCCCAGACAAAACCAAATTCAAATCTCAGTTCTAGTCATTATTTACCCCAGTCAGGAAAGACAATGCAGCAGTCCGTTGTGAATGAAATGATGCTGCTTGAAGTTTTCACAGTCCTAGGATATAGGAGTTCAACAATATTTGTAATTACTGTTATTGAATGTAGATAGCATCTAGGATATTTTGGAGACCTATGTTCTGAGATATCAGCAGGAAAGAAACTTAGCAAAATCATACGGTAAGGTGAAAAGAATAGGCTTCATTAGACTTTGGAATATAAACTAGACAGGATTTTTAGATAAAGCAGCCATCACAAAAAGGAGGTGCTTGTTACTTACACAGAGGAGAAACACTGGGAAGTTTTAGATGGTGAAAAAAGATATTGGATAGGATAGCTTATAAACTAAAGTCAAAGTAGTCTACCCAAGTCCAAATCAGAAGAGAATAAAGTTCCTATGGTATCTTGCTATTCCCGCCCTAAGTGTGTCCAAGAGATAGTTTTTAAGCAGCACACCGTACAGCTCATTCTTTTCTTTGGAAAAGGTCTGAAAGTTAACATGGAAAGAAAGACAAAGGCATTGCCATATCTTATGAGCAATGGGAATTTAATGGGCTGGGCATGGGTGTTCTTATTGACAAAGAGGCCTTTTCTTTCCTTTAACTTCCTTTCTCCCCTTTCCTTCCATCTTCTCTTTTCCTTCCTTCTATTTTCTCTTTTCTTTCCTACCTGATTCTGCAAGGGTCTAAAAAGGAATGATTTCCTCATTGTTATTTGCCACTGGATTCAGGATAAGTCAGGTGTTAAAAGATGTTGTCCAGATTTTAGTTTGCTTAAATTAGACCTGATGTATTTTTCATTCTTCTTTACCATGTTTCCTAATATAAAGAAGTGTAGCATTCAGATGAAAAATAGATGGGTCATCAAGACAAGTTCTCCCATTGGAGAACAGGAAACTAAACCCATGATGACTGTGAATGAACTCTCTGAGAACCAAATGAAACTCACAGAAATAGAAACCAGATGTAAGCAATCATGAATCCAGGGCACTACACTGCCTCCAGTTTATTTTTAGCTGAAATGTTATTAAAGTATTTTTCAATACCATAATTAATTTTCAAGGATTGCCATTAATTAACCTCATAGTGTAAAATGGAACAAGAAAATGTTTGCATATAAGGCTAGTGGAAAATGTTAATTTTTAAAGTAGTTTACTGTATGTTTGGTGGTGCTTGTGGGTTGTTCTATGGTTTTTAGTTTTCCCAGTTTGACCTAGGAATAATGAATCTCTAACCAGAATGTAATTCATCTTTAGATAATAGTGACTGTTTATATATTTAGGATATGTCAACCTCCTCAAGGCTAGGAAGTATCATAGCCTAATATAATATTTGACTTTCGAGTTCTGGGTGTGTAACAAGAGGACCAACAGTCTTGTTAGCTAAAATCAACCCAAAATATTAGAGTTTGGACATGAACTTGGCCTGCCCATGCCAGAGGGAATACAAGTACCTTCTTTCAGGCTCTGAATGAAATCATTAATTATGTCAGCAGCTCCAGCGATAGACCTGGAGACACTTTGCCCTACTTAGCAAACAAGCTACCTTCTCAACTGTTTAAAAGTCTGGGGAAGATCTTAAAGATTCATACTCACTGTACTCACACAGCCCTTTGCCCACAAATCCTCAGACTCTACTTGATCTGCAATGTCTTTGGTTTCACCACACCGGGATTGGAATGAGATGAGGGAACTATGTGGTCGTGATGCCCAGACTGTGTATTATAGACCTAAAAGTACATCCTGGTGTACCTCGACAATGAATCCCTTTTAAAACGAGGGGTTTTGGGAATCATATCAACATACTTGAGTTGCTGCTTCATTTGTGCTAGACCTTTTAAAGGGCAATTTTAGCTGCTAAAGACATGTACATTTTTGCCATTTAAAAAACAGCTTTACAAAGAATGTGACCTGTGTTTACAGGACAAAGGAAAAAAATTATCCTTGCCACAAAGAACAGCTTCCTTTTTTTAACCATTAAAAGTGCCTTGGCAGTTCTATGTACAATTAACGGCTTAGCAGAATTAGCAGAATAAGAAGTAAAGGAGCAAAGCGCAACAAAATTCTGCTAAGGTCAGTAAATTTTCTTAACAAGTACTTCCACACAGTAATTGATCTCAATGTATTTTAGTACATCATGAATCCACATTTTCCCCCTCATTTACCAGCCTTTGGGAAGTGAAGCACAAATGAAATGAAGAGAAAATTATCTTCAGGAAAGCAATACCATGCACCGAGCATTAAGGAAAGACAGACTTTTAAGACTGACTAACAGACAAAATGGGCTTCCCTGATGGCTTGGACTGTAAAGAATTCGCCTGCAATGTGGGAGACCTGGGTTCAATCCCTGGGTTGGGAAGATCCCCTGGAGAGGGGCATGGAAAACTACTCCAGTATTCTTGCCTGGAGAATCCCATGGACATGGGAGCCTGGTGGGCTGCCGTCCATAAGGTTACAAAGAGTTGGTCATGACTGGGCGACTAAGAATAGCACAACAGACAGGATGCCCTCATCCCTGATCCACTATGATTTTTAAAAGGATATACCTTACATGAGGTCTTCAGCTGCTGAGAAATGAGCTTCATATATGAATTTGAGGAAGGAGATCTAAAATAATTAAAAACATACTTTTTTCATTTCTCAAAAGTCCAGGTAGAGAGAAATGCTATCCAATTCAATTCCACAGATACCTTCTGAAGACCTTCTCTGGGCTCACAGCAGTGCTAAGCACATTGGGAAGATAAGCAGAACACAAACAAGAGATCGATAGACTTTATTTTCCTTTTTTAGCTGATAGACAGTTATACTAATTGAACGCTTTCCTCTTGGGAGCAGAAAAAATGTCTGGCAGTTTTAACAGAGCTACTGATGGGAAGGATTAATATCTTCTTTAATAAACATATAAAAGAATGAGATCTTTAAAATCTAATAAGCTGTTGGAGAAAGCTAATTTTTAAAAAATTAAGGAAACTGAAGGAAATTGGCTGAACTTTAAAGGGGGAACTCTCCATTGGTATCAACACTAGACAAAGGAAAATGCTAAACTACCAATGTGTGTGGAGGGGGGCTACCTAAATTATATGAGCAGATAAAGAATAGAATGAAGTCTATATCAATCTATTTTTTCTCCTTTCATAGAAAGAAGAGTAAAGAGATATATGGAAGAAGACTAGCTAACAAAGGATTCATAGAAAAAACTAAACTTCTAAATTGCAAAACAACAATAATAAAATATTATTAGGCCAGTTTATTTCACACTTTTCAAAGAATAGGGTACACATTCAAGCCTTATTTTGTTAATTTTTATAAATATAAAAAAGGAAAGTAAAATGTTAATATCAATTTTATTGATATGTGGAAATATTCCATTTTCCTTCATTAATTATTACACAAATGCAGAAACTGAGAGAAGAAAAGCTATGAGAAATTATTGACTCATAATACTTCCTCTTTTACACGGGGCATTCTCAGAGTTATTAATAAGTACACACATTCTTTTTTTTAAAAAGCATCACACCACAGTAAGAAAGAAGGGCAAAAGCAGCAAGCAATGATGTGTTCCAACCTGACATCTTAATCAGAAACATAAAAGATTCTGTTACGTTCTGGTTGTTAGTTAAATGTCCTCATAAATAAAGGCACAATTCTCAAATAAGAGTTATAAATGTTTACAATAATATTTTTAGTTTCTTTGGTAGTATTTAAAGAAGGTTGTTACTCAGTGGAGATGGGATTGCTAATAGAGATAAGTAGTGGAGAAATTGCCAAGAGAAATTAAAAGACAAAAAGGTAAAAAGTGGTGATCATTAAGAAGGCAAAACATGCTCTGTCTTAACATGTGTAAGAGTTTAATTAAGTTCATAAACATTTCATCTTAGGATCATGTCATAAGAACCAGGCAGAATTGTACTTCACAGAGAATAGACCTACAATATGGCAATAAATTTCTTTGTTTCCTCCTTCGCTACAAGTGGCCATCAGACAATGCTCTGCACTGGTAAATAATAAAGAAGTCGCTCCTCTGAGCAACAGTATTTTTACAAAGGACCCCAAGCACCCCTCGGAAAGGAATTGACCCAAATCCCTGAGACTCCTAACACCCCAGAACTTGCCCCACTCAATAGAAGCGTCGTGCATCACCCCAGCGATACCACACGGGTCCAAAAGCGATGGCCAGTTCCTAGATTCTTTTCACAAATATGAGAAGCATCATAAGACCGGTGACTTTGCTTCTCGCTCTTTTGAGAACAGAACCTTAGAGTAGGGAAGGGAGGTAAACTGCTGGCTGGACCGACATTTCTTAAAGCCCAGGAAGTGTCGGCTGAGGGGAAAGACATCTTCAGGAAGGAGCTAAAAGGAAATCCACAATTTGGACTCGAGAGTTTATTTTCTGCCTATCTCTGGAATTCTGCCCCGTTTGCGTCCCAGAGCTGTGCAAACGAACACTTGCAGCCGGTGCCCGGCGCACACCGGCTGGGTGGCCAGCAGGCTGGGGCCGGAGAAGTGGCGGCCCCCGGCGCGGGGGTCCGCGCCTCGCCGGGACCGCCCAGGACGCACGTCAAGGCGCCTTAACCACCATGGACAGCTCACTGGCTTCCCTCGGCCTGCGCGGAGCCGCTCGCGAACTCCGCGGGAGCCACTGGTGAGGATGATTTCTACATGCTGGAGAGACGCCATGTGGTTCACGGTCTACACTCCCCGCGATCCCAACTGCGACCACCGATCAACTATATATAGACAGAGTGGGCTTCAAGAATCAATAACCTGTCTCCTTGCCCTCACATCAGGCCTTTTAAGGTGCCACCGGATTCTAAGAATCCGACGGAGAGACTTGGCAGAGAACTTTGTTCCACGTCCCTTCGTTTTCTCCCCGGGGCCCGCGCCGTCCCTCTCTCCGCCTTGGCTTGGCCGATCGTGTTAAATGAAATAAAGCAGATGGGCTCCCGGGCTCCGGGCGCGCGGAGGCGAGCCCGAGGACCGCGAGTCCCGGGGGCTCCGGGAGGAGGGGTCCAGCCTGCGCACCCCTCTGGAGACCGGGCCTGGACCGGGCCAGGCCGGGGGTGGGGTATAGCCGCCCCACCCTCTCCCCCCCACCCCCACTGGGAACTTACTGCCACTGTCCGCCAGGGTCTGATGTCAAGTTTGAGTCATCGATTGCCCAGGAGGGAGAAGGGAGGGGACAGCCTGCTAGGGGGCGTTTCGCTGGTGCCTCCGACCCTGTGCTCGGGACAAACTGTTCCCGATGCTTTCATTTTTCCCCGACAGCGGGAAGCAGGGCCCTTCTGGGAGGAGGGAGCGTCTCTATAACGCGTGCGAAGCCACGCAGTCAACCCAAAGGGATGGGAACGCGAAGGCCTGGGTGCTACCGCCGCGGACAGAAGGATTCTGTGCGGCCATCGGAGTCCAGATGCTGAGGGATAGACGCCTGAGAACCCAGCGAACGTAGCTACACCCGCCGGGGGGCTCCCAGGCCTCTAAACTTGCCATCAGGTCTACGCCCGCCGGGTACCGTATACGCAAGGGTGACCTAAGTCTGCAGTGGCAGGTGGGGGCTGATAAAAATCGTCCTGTCGTGTCAAGCTTCTTCCAAGACCCGGGACTCCAACCACAAGGCGACTTAGGCTTCGCTTCCCCTTCCTGCACCCGAAGCACAACAATTAGGCCCGAAGACCCGGGAGGGGGAGCGCGCAGGTTTCAAGTCTGCTCTCCCGTGGCCTTATTTCCGACAGAAATCCCAGTAAGAGGAGGAAATGTCCAAATTCGTAATCACAAGCTCAAGCGAAATACGCGCAGCACTCCCTCGAAGGGTGGGAAGCTAGATACCGTTTCTGCCCGTGCGGATGGGCTCCCGTTCGGGGGAGAGCCTGAGAGCGGGCCCACTATGCAGGGGTTGGGGGTGGTGTTAGGAATGTGAACTGCTTCCGAAGTCCCGGCGACTCCAGACAACAGGGCTCAGATGGTAAGAAAAGATGACTTCGCTCACAGAAGAGCTGGGTCCGGGCCAGGAAGGCTGTGTGGCAGGCCCGAGACCAGTTTCAAATGGAGAGGTTGTCACCTAAGCCAGGTGGGACTCGGAACTCTCCTTGTGGTACCCAGGTCCAGAGCTGCCTGCTCCTGGGAGCCGGAGCTGGGCCCAGCCAAGGGCATTCAGTGAGCATCAGTCCAGGAGAGCAGGACTCTTGCACTACACAACCATTTTCTCTCTCTCTCCCCGTCTCTCTCTGTTTCTCTCTCCCACACATAGTCTCCATCCCTAGCTGGAAGACTCTTTCTTTCTCATTCGTGTTTTAATGGTCTAGGGTTTGGGAGGTTGCACCAGTACTTGACCTTGGAGAACTTACCGGAGAACCTCTTTCTTACAGACCTGCTCATCTCACATTGGCTTGCACCCTCTGGGAAAACTGCCTTGCCCATGAGCTTTCTGATCCTGTCTGGGGAAAGCAGAACATTGCCCGAAAAGTAGGGAAAGACCAAGAGGGTGTGAGACCCACTTTGCCAATAAGAGAAATCCATCAGCTTGATGGTGTCTAGGCACTTCTCTCTGAGGCAGCCCTCTCCCCATCAGCAGCAGGTCCTGTTCTTATAAAGACAGCCTAGTTTAAGTCCTATCCTCATCTATAAAGAGATTTAGTAATAAAACACACCGTTCACTGCCCCTTTTGGGAATTTAAAGGCATTACTTTAAACCTTCCTCTAGGTTCTTGCTATCTAAAGGTCAGATCTCAAATCCTAATCCAGGCCATGGTTCAAAGTGATTTGAACTATGTTCTAGTGTAATCAAATGATAACTTTACTTGAGCTAATTATGCAAACTGCTTTATGCAAATAAAGAAAGAGAGAAAAGAAAGGATGCATTGTGTTGTTCAGTTTCATAGGATTTGAGAGATATAACTTGGAAATTGGTAAATGTTAAATTTGCATGTTTATTGGTAATAAGCAGAGAATTTCTGAGCCCAGGTGTACTTTGAAAGAGTTTAAGCTACCTTTTTTTCATTTGAATGTTTATTTGTTTGCTTGTTTGAACCTGGGAGGAAAAATGGAAGAAAGATAAGGAAGCTAAACATAAATGCTAGAGGTTTTTTCCCCCCGTAAAGTGCAAGAGAAGCTATCTCTAGAGATAGACATCAACTGGTTATGTAAACATGAATTTAAGAATAAAAGTGCACTTAGAAATTTAGAACACCTCTTTTTAAAATTGGGATATAATGTTGCCATTGGAGATGGGAAGATGGAAGTCTGGGGCTTGCTCATGGGCTAGGCATTCATGTAGGTGAGCTCTCACAAGCTAAACTGTCTTCATATGGCAAGGCTTCAGATTAAAGTCTGGCCTTCAAATCCTCCTTTGCTAAGGTGCATTTATGTGATAGCAAGGCCTAAGCAAACATTCATGCTCTGTTGGCACTTCTATTCCTAAGCCTTAAAAAAAAAAAAAGCCAGTAGTGTGGAGTCATCTCATTTACAATCATGTGTCCTCAGCATTATCATAAAGGTTATTCAATCATATTGGGAACTAGATTATGATGTCAGAAAAATATCCTTCTCAGAAAGGTATATATTGAGGGCATATTTGAGGAGAATCTCAACCGAGAGTAATATTCAGGGCAGCTTTAGAAGACAGACCTGCTTTCTAATAATTGCCTTGAGTGAAAACAGAAGTCTCCTTACAGGAAATTTTTAATTCATTTAAGACTTAATTTTACTTTTTTGAAGAACAACAAAAAAAAATTATTTCTGGAAGAGACTGCTGCGAAGATCTCCCTCCTTTGGCCAGAGAAGCAGAGAAGACTGTAAATCAAGGAAAAGGTGAAGTAATAAATTATGAGGAAAGCTTTGGTATTCCAAGTATATAAAGACTATTTATTTTTCCTGTGTCTATATTTTCTTTTTTTGTAGAGGAGAGGAAATTCTAAAAATATTTGATAGATGTTTTGCCATTAACACCAGAAAAGTGTTGGGGGTGGGGGGAGAGGGAGGGAGGTCAATTTTGTTTAATTAGTAGAAAAAGCAACATAAATCAAAGCAGTCTATTGAGGCCAGTCTTTAATTTATAATGTTATGAGAATATAATGAATTTATTTACAGTATAAGTGATTTAATATTTTCAATCTGATTTTTGTTTTAACCTTTTTTGAGGAGAGGTTTGACTTTTTAAAGCCTGGATAGTTTGAAACTTGGCTAAGCACCTCTGGGTTTTTTATTGTGGAAGCAAATATTATCATTTTAATGTTAAACAACTTGCAAGTATTAAATAGCTCATTTGTGATTTACTTTTTTACAGATTTCCCCCCCTTCAGATCTAACGATTACATTAAGGCTTCTGCATCCTTTTGGAAAGAATTTATTATAAATCAGAAAGTGTTAGATGTTCAAAGATTAACATTTCTGAGTGCTGATACTTCATCTTTTCATGCCTTGCAAACAGGTCTAACATTTAGAAATTCTTAAACGTTCAAGGGAAGTTGTGGAAATTCCCAGTTTTTTTTTAAGCTGGAGGAAGCCAAGTTTTTTTTTTTTTTTAAAGTGTGAAGTTTAAAGCAATCAAATGAGGGAGATAGCAGCTTCTGAGAAGGGGTGACACCCACCCAACTTAAGTAGCAAATGTTTGATAAAGCTAGTTAGCTGGCAGCTGATGGTGGGGAAACGGAGCAGAGATGAAAGAGGGTCAGTGAGAGGGCGCTATTCCACTCAACCTTGGTGAAATTTGTGGACCATCAGCCAGAAGGCCAGGCTTGATAAAGGTCAGGCTCAAATCATCTCACATCTCTAAGTCACACTAGCCTTTTACGGAGTATTGAAACCTACCAGTGGGATTGTCTGTCTCGAAGACAAACATCTCTTGAATGGTTCCCAACCACTCGGGTTCATTTCCGAAAGATAGAGCTGAGTCCGTTGGGCGGGCGTTCACATCCGCTGCAAGCCCTCCCTAGACGATACCGCCCGGTAATTCAGAGCAGCCCTTCTTCCCCGCCCAACAGTTTAAGGAAGAAACCCCTGCTTTCCCTTCGCTTCTCCGAGGCATAGCGGCTTAGAGCAATAGCCCCGCTGCTTCTGCGGGCTGAAGCGACACGGATAGACATCCTAGAATATGTAACAGGGGACGCGGGAGGGGGATGCGGGGAACAGTAGGTTATCGGCGCGGAAAGGGTGGGTTCGATTCCTGACGGTCGTGTGCGCTCCGCAGGAATGTCGGTCCCCCTCCGCAATTCAAAACGGGGTCTCCATCCTGTGAGCCGGCTTTCTTGGACGGGCTCCAGAAGTCCTCAGCTGTACTGGGACACTTAGAAATGCCATCTCGACCTGAAGTCTGAAACCATTTTTACCATTCTAAGCGAAGGATTCCCCCACCCTTAGCCAAGGCTCCCCACTCAGCTTGTTCCAGGAAAGGGCCGGGGGAGGAGGGTTCCCACCGCGCTTCCCGAGCCCCCCAGGCGGGCTTAGGGCTCCTGTAAGGCACTGGCCCAAGGCCCGCGACCTCCCCGCCGAGGATGCCGGGCGCCCGGGCTCTCCGCCCCGGCTCCTCGGCCTCTTCCTTGCCGACCGCCCCCGGCGGCCTGGGCGCCCGCGCGTCCCGCGGGACTCGGCTGCAGCCGCGCGCCGGGGGTCGTGGCTGCCCCCGGGCGGTGCGCACACCCTCAGAACTTGGGCTGGCTGATCCGCCGAGGGGTCCCGGGCCGGAGGGACCGGGCGGGAACGTGCGGATCCGCTCCCGGTCCCGGGACAGAGCGGCGGGGCCAGCGCTCCGGGGTGGGGCTCGGCCGAGCTCGGGGCAGCGCCGGGGGCGGCGGGCCTGGGGTAGGAGGGGGGCGCCCGGCCGCCGGCGGGACGTTCCCAGCTCTGGGCTCCCCTCGGCTCGCTCGGGCCCAGCTGGGCCCGCTCGGGTCGCCGCCCCCGCCCCCCGCGCGCCCGCGCCCTCTCTCGGCCCGCGCGCGTTCCTAGGGCGCCACCTCTTTGCGACTCGCTCACTTCTCCGGCAGGTTTCCCTGCGAGCGTGTGAACATTGCCCAGCTCGGCTTTCAACTCGCTTCCAACCTGCACCGCCCGGCCAGCATGCCTCCCCGGCCGTGAAGCGGGGCCGCCGCCGCCCCTCCGCGCCGCTGGTAACCCGCCCTCGCCGCCACCTGGCCCTCCTGATCGACGACACACGCACTTAAAACTTGTTCTCAGGGTGTGTGGAGTCAACTTTCCGGAAGCAACCAGCCCACCAGAGGAGGTAGACAGACAGCTAGGTATATATATATGCGGGTCTTGCTACAAGTGGCTCTGGAACAAGCCGGCCTAGATCGCAGAGAAGCTGACTTCGGAGCGGGAAACTTCCTTCTGTTTTTTAGGAAGGAGTTAGCCCTGCTCCCCGAACCCCGGATACTGCCGGCCAGATTAATTAGACATTGCTATGGGAGACGTGTAAACACGTTGCTCATCATTGATACGTATATAAAACCATTTCATTTCGGTTATTATTTCGGAGGAGGCGCCTCTGATTTTTTTTTTTTTCTTTTCTTCCCCTTTTTTCGGTCCCTTTTTTGCCTGTGTGGTTTGGAAAAAAACACAGTTGGAGTAGCTGATTCCTAAATAAGTAAGTGCCGGGAGACTCCAGTGAAAGTTGGGTTTTTTTTTCTTTTTCTTTTTTTTTTTTTTTGCAACTTGGGAGATGCCCTTGAAGTTGAAGACGCTCTCTGAGAGCAGGCTGAAGGGGGGCAGCGGGGTTGTGCGGGGAGATGGAGGTCCCAGACTGACACTTTGGGCCCCTTTCCTCTCCGTTGCAGGTCCCCAGAGCGAGAGGATACGATGCTGTGGAGGCTAGTTCAGCAATGGAGCGTCGCGGTGTTCCTGCTGAGCTATTCGGTGCCCTCCTGCGGGCGCTCGGTGGAGGAGCTCGGCCGCCGACTGTAAGTGCCCGATCCTCCCCAGGGCGCCGGGTGAGGGCTGGGGAGGCCAGGGGGAGAGGTCACCAGACTGGGGCGCTGCCGAGGGCCCTCCGCGGTCATGGATGCTCTTCGCCCGGGTTATAGCGCGGCGAGATCCGCTACCTGCCCGGAGCTGAGCCCGGGTCCTCAAAGCCGGCGGGAGAACTGGGTAAAACCTCAGTCGGAGACAGGCAAGAGACAAGTTTCATGTGTTTCCATGAGAGGGAGCGATTTACTGATTCTTCTCTAGCAAAAGTTCTTCTACTGAGAGAAAAGGGTTATTTTCAGAACCTGGGAAGATTCTGAAACCTGAGGATTGCAAAAAGCTTAAGATAACTCGCAGGAAGTTGAGGTATCCAGGCGGCATACGTCTGTGTGTGTGCACTTGTATACGTACATACTGAATGTGGGTGGCAGGTTTTGTGTGAAAAGCAAAAACTTTACATCTAATTTTATTATGAATGACATAATTTTAAGCATATAAAATGGACCACATTACATAATGTAGGCATATTATATAATGAAGTAGTAACAACTTTGCAATGGCACAACTCCAACATCAGTATTGATACAGTTTAAGAACGCTAGGGTGCTCAATTCCAAAATGAGGATTAGGTGTGGAAACTTTTTCCCCCCTTGGAATTATTGCTAACAGCCCTTTAATCTGGAGTCAAATATTTGCATTGTAGACTGAAAATCTGTTATCTTGGCATTTTCACTTGGTGATTCTTTCAGGATAATTTTGACTTTAATCATACATCAAAGCACACCAGAGAAATAGCACCATGTTGTGTGACTGAAAAGTTGGAAGAGTGGGAAAGTAACACTAGCTTCATAATCCGTTGGACCCAGCAGTTTATGAATGTATGTAATACCATCTTTGGGTGATCTTTAAGCTGCCCTCTCAGTGTCCAGGATGGGAAAACCAGAAAGTTTGAGAACTGAGACGAGTTTGCCTCTGGAGAAGGAATTAAGGGGAACTTTTACAATAACAATAAAAATAGCAATATCTAATATTTACAATCAGGTTCCTGGTGCTTCCTTGTAAATTCCCGAGGGTGTACCAAAAGGCAACTTTTTATATGTGCCCTTGGTCTATTATTATTAAAGCAGAAAATCCTTAAATGAAATTACCTTAGACATGTCTGAACCTTGGCACCGAAATGAAAATCTATTATGAATCTCCTAAGGCAAATTGTGTAGAACATTGTACTGAAGATAAAGCTGCATTGTATTCTTCAAATCAAGATTTTGCTGATGTATTTCTGGAAATTGTCTTCAGATTATTTGCTCATTTTGAGACTCATATTTAATTATGTAAAATCCATATATAAATATAAATGAAGCCTAAAATTTTAAAAGCACACTTAAATACTGTATTTATTTGGCCAAGAAATACTGTCTTGGAACAGAGCCAATTTTTTTTTCTTTACAGTTGCTTAAGAAATACCTGTTTTCTCTTTTGAGAAACAGTAAATTGACCATGATTAAATCTGCAGTTATGGCATTAAAATGGTGCTAAGTTAGTTTTAGAGTCTATTTTTAACTCTTTCCTTGTTGCACCTTGCAAAATACACATCAGAAACCACTTAGCAGCCAGTCTCTGTTATAGTTTTGTTTGTGGGTGAAATATAATATTGCAGTTAAACACTCACACTCAGCAGATGGTTATAAAACTACCACAAAACATTCTTATAGTTAATGGCTAATAGATCATCACATTACAGCCATGGTGTTTCATGGAGGCTGAAATCATCAGCAGATAAAGAAGTTTCATCAAATTATTACAGCCAAATAGAGTTTTTTTTTTTAAAAAACAAATCATTTATTTTTGCATTATTGCCAAGTAACAGTACATTTTTGTGTGCTAGACAAAACATTAGTCTGCTATTACAATAAATCAGCATAGTATCTTAAAAGAAATTTTAACATATAATCAAATCATATTACTCCCCAATTACTTTTCACACCAAATATTAGGGAAACTGCTTTAGACGTTTTCTAAATAAGGGCTAACTTTTAAAGGAGAGGAAACTACTACAACAGTAACAATTCCCAGGCTATGGCAATATAAGTTGTGAATCTTCTGGACCTGTGAGTCTAAAAGGACATGACTCAGTGAGGCTGTGTTAGTCCCTCAGTTGTGTCCGACTTTTCGATCCCATGGACTATAGTCCACCGGCTCCTCTGTACACAGGATTTCCTAGGCGTGAATACTGGAGTAGGTTGCCAGGTTGAAGATCTCCAGGGGATCTTCCCGACCTAGGGATCAAAGCTGGTTCTCCCGGATGGCAGGCGGATTCTTTACCGTCTGAGCCACTAGTTGGAGATCTATGGACATTCTCGTCCAGATGAACAGGGCTTCCGGCAGGTGACAGTCTCTGTGTTTGAGTTAGAGAGAGAACCCCAGCAGATTCAGAAACCTAAAACATCACTGACTGATATGCTTAGGAGCCAGACTGGGTCTCTTCCACTTAATGAAAAGCATAACTTCTGACTGAGTCATTTGGGTTGGAAGGGACTTCTGATGAGTCATCTTAACTCTAACACCCTGACCCTGACTCTTCCATGGACCACAGAACTTTTCTTCTCAAACCCAGACTCCTTCCTCTTAGGAGCCTAGCATCAGCACGAGCATGCTGCCTCTTCCTGTGCTGAAAAAAGGAATTCCCATCACTCCAGCTCTTCCCTGTGTTCCTTGAGAGCTCCTTAGAAATTTAATCTTCTTCCCCGAAAACTCCCTAGAGAGTGATTTTTAAAGACAGAAAAGCTATATTTTGACTGAATTTAGAATTATCTGTGTTAAGCGTTTCCTTCACATTTTTTCTTTTTAAAATAATAATCAAAGGAAACCGTGAACATAGGACACTTGTGCTTCCATGTTGGGGATGTAATAAATGCCATGTGGACCATCGTACAGATATACCATGTGTATAGATGTGTACAGATATGCCATGTGTACGGATATACAAAGTAACAGACTATTATTGAGGCCATATTTATAACTTAAGTACTTCAGAATTATCTAAAGTGAAAGCCTCCCTCTTGGAAGGAATTGCCCACCACCTGTGTACATCTAGTTTGTACATGCTAGTCATTTACTCTTGGCTCAGTTAATGTCTTATTTGGAAAATAAATAGAACACTCATGGACCTGATTCCTTGTTGACAGGATAGATACTATGCTATTCCTGATCCTCTAATGCAGTTGCTCAACCAGAAAGTTATTCTTCACAATATTTTGAATGCAGAAGTCTTTGAACTAGTAAGTAAATTATGCTACAGCATTTCAGATTCGGCATTTAAGAACTTCTGTATTTTCTACTATGTTAATAATTACCCCCTAAAGGCAGAATGAAGCTTTGTACCTCAACAAGAGATGTACTACTTTGAACTGGACAAAGTTGTAGGCTTTTTGTAAAACAGAAGGATAGAATGCTCACTCCATTTCCCATGAGAACCATCCTGGGAAAGTGCAGTGCCCGAGCTAGGAAGGCACTGTGACTCACACTTGACAGGCTAGCCAGGATGACAGGCATATATGCCAGTCAGAGGAGGCATGAGCAATGGAGACTTGATTAGAACAGACCAACTATTAAAAGTTTGGCTTCAAGGTAAGCTAGAATGGGCTGTATTATACATTTGGAGAGCAATACAGATGAGTGGCTATCTGCCAGGAATTGAGAAAGTAATAAAAGCTCCAAATAGTAAAAATGATCATGTGTAAGAACTTCTTCTTAACTTGACATTTTGCTAAGAGATACTTATGAAAGTGTAATACGGAACATGTAAGTGTACCGGTCCTGTTCTTGAAAACAGTTATTAGACAATATAAATCTATTGTAGCAAAGCCTCCATGTAGGTCATTAAAAGTTTCCAGGATACTAACTATTGCCACAAAGTAAGTGAATTTTAATCTGGTCACATGTGGCACCTTCCAAAAGGAAGAGAGACTCCATGCCTCATTTAAACCAGGCTCCTGTTAAATTCCTTTCCATTAAGTCATGTCTTTTTTGCACAAGCTACATGGCTTAAAGTCAGTGCACACAACTGAAATGCTGAAAGAGAGCTGGTATTCTGGCTATAAGTCCAAGAAATAATGACAGTTTCCGTGGTTTCCTCTTCTTGGACTCACAATATAACTAGACAGTCTGTCATTCCCTCAGTGATAATACAGACTCTGGGAATCCTGGTTCTTTATTTTGGTGATGAAAATGTACTTGGGACAAGCAGCTTGGTCTTCTAAGAAGCAGATAAATTGCTGTCCATTTGTCCATTGTCATGGTTCTCAACACAGACGACTCTGCCCTTCCCTTCTAGTTTCCTAAACATACACTTCAGTAAGAGAAAGGGTTGGGGAAGTTGGAAAACAGTCTTGGTTTTAGAATCAGGAGACATCATCTTTGGAGCACCCTGGTTCTACCTGTTCTTATCATGTGAGCAAGTGTGAAGTCTTTAATCTCTGAACCTCGCTTTCCCAATCTGTAAAATGAAGAGTTTTGTTTATTCTCATATTTCTCTGAAGAGTTAAATAAGTTGTATCAATGAAGGTAATAAGTGACCAGATAAATCTATCATTGTGTTGGGGAGGAAAAATACACAGGATCCAGCCCTGTGAAATGCCTTCAGAAACTTTTTAAGTTGAGCCACTTTGGAGGGTTATTTCAATGGTAGAAATTCAAGTTATGTGAAGTATGGTTGTAGCAGATATAATATGACTGCTTCATGCATGTAATCCCTAAATTTGGTTAATACATACAGAATAATGAAAGAATACATGAATTGCATTTAAGCAAGAGTCAGGGTGTCATCTAAAAAGATTGATAGAAAAAATTTTTTTCACTCTGCTTTCATTAGAGTGTTGTTTAATAGAAAAACCACTTCATATTTTTGCCCAGAGATATTTCTAGGACAAAGAAGAAATAGAAAAGTGAATTTCCTAATTACACCCTAAGGATAATACCTTTGAAATTCTAAATTAAAAAGAAAAATGATGCACAGAGGAAATAGAATGATCTCACTTAAACACACAAAGACAGCCATTTTAAAGAGACCACCCACTACTTTACAGAAAAATTTATGCATGCTCTGACAGTTGGCCTTCACATATAGGTTCTTGGTAGCCTATAGTCTAATATCAATCATGTCCAAATTCAGTGTGTTAGTCAGATGGTTTCCTAGACAGACTTCACAGCTCACTTCATCCTTCAGACTTTGTTTACTTTTACTAGTAGAGCTTGCTGTTCTTTGAGATTCAGTATTATTATTATTTTCTTAAGTGGGGATCAGTATGTGTGCCTGCACGCCTGCTTGTGCACATGTGTGCACGCTCGCTCATGCACACCTATGCCTGGAGTGAGTACTTAGGGGAAATCAGCCACCTTTTTGTTTCTCAGACTAGTACGTTTTATTTCCCCAACACAACTCCAAAAACCATGAAAAGAAGCTCAGTGGTTTCTGTCCATATTTTTGAAACAATGACGCTTAATAGTTAAAATTGAGAAGAGAGGATAGCCATTGTAGAATCTGATCTTTTTAAAGATCAGATTTAAAAAGATGGGGCCCCAGAGGCCCAAGAATGTTCATGTTCTCAGCAAGGTCACCGACCTGGGGAGCAGCACAGTTGAGACTCAGGCTGGAGCCTCCTAAAGGCCAGCTCTTCCCTTCCCATCTCTCCCTTCCTTGCCCAGCCAGCTTGCAGCCGTGTAGCTTAGCTTGTGGGACCAACTGGACCATTCAAAGGCTTTCCCCACGTCTTTGTGGTCTAGGTCAGATATTAAACTGTCACTGTCTTCTTCCTCTCCTGCTCTTTTCTCTTTACAGCAAAAGGGCTGTGTCTGAGCACCAGCTCCTCCATGACAAGGGGAAGTCCATCCAAGACTTACGGCGTCGGTTCTTCCTCCACCATCTGATCGCGGAAATCCACACAGCCGAAATCAGAGCTACCTCGGAGGTGTCCCCCAACTCCAAGCCTGCTCCCAACACCAAGAACCACCCTGTCCGATTTGGGTCTGATGATGAGGGTAAATACCTGACTCAGGAAACTAACAAGGTGGAGACATACAAAGAGCAGCCACTGAAGACGCCCGGCAAGAAAAAGAAAAGCAAGCCTGGCAAACGCAAGGAGCAGGAAAAGAAGAAACGGCGAACTCGGTCAACCTGGCTGACCTCAGGCGTGGCTGGGACCGGGCTGGAAGAGGACTACCTATATGACATCTCCACAACATCGCTGGAGCTCAGCTCACGGTAACCAGCTTCCCGGCCCCAACCCCTGCTCAGTGCCCCAAGTACAGTGTGGAGACCACTCTGCCCTGGCTTGCACAGACCGAGAGTCCCTATCTGTGCCTCTGTCCATCACGCCACGGTTTGAAAGGTTACAAAACCAAGATGGCTCAGAATATTGCCTGCCTTAAGGCAATGTCCTCCTAGCCCCTCAACACACAAGGGGTTTAATCACTCGCTTCTTTCTCCAGCAGCAAACCCCAATACCAATCCTTTAATACTCTACTAACAACTTTTCACTTTCATGCACTGGACAAGGAAATGGCAACCCACTCCGGCGTTCCTGCCTGGAGAATCCCAGGGACGGGGGAGCCTAGTGGGCTGCAATCCATGGGGTCGCACAGAGTCGGACACGACTGAAGTGACTTAGCAGCAGCAGCAGCAACAACTTTTATCTTTTTCCTCAAGCTGTAGAAGCTTGTGCACTTTAACCATTTTTTAAAGAACTGTATTTATTTCCCCCACTCTTATACCAAGTCGAACTTTATGATTATTTTTCTTTCTTTTTTTCCCCTTCAAGGGGAAAACAAACAAACAAACAAACAAAAGAAGGCTTTGATATGATCTGCAAACACTAAAGAAAAATATCCTACCACGAACAATTAAACTTATTTAATTAAAAATTAAATTTATTTCATGTGATTAAATTTAAAACTTTATACACAGACTTTGAATTTATTTAATTGAATTTAACTCTGTTTTCTACCAGTTCACAAAACAAAAATCATGATTTCTGAAAATTTCTAAGTAAAGATTGGGAAGGATGTAAGTTTTTCTCATGTACCTATTTGTACACTGACAAGCTGATGTACTTTCTATAGGGTTTTGTAGTAGGAATAATAAAGCCACATCTATGTGGCTTGTTTATCCTTAGCTCACAGCTTTTCATGTTCACAGACTTTGGAGCCAGAAACCCTCAAGTTCAAGTCTTGGGTCTGAATTTATTGATGTTCACAACCTTAGTCTTTCTAAGACAGATTTCCTCTTCTATAAAATGAAGGTGGTACTTGTGCCAACCTCACTGAGTCAGGTGAAGATTAAATGAGATTACACGGGTTAAATGCCTGTCATAGAGTAAATACTCAGTAAATTGTAGCTTATTATTGTTTAGGTGCTTTGAGATTTCATTCTGGCTCTACCATCCATCCATCCATCTCTCTATCTAAGTATGTGTGTTTCTGTGAGAGAATACAATTTGACAACCAAAGCCTTCCACAGGTAAAGCAGCTGAGCAGGCCTGGAAGCAGGGAGTGGTGGTCCTCAGAACTTCTTTATTTCCTTTCTTGACACTTAGGCCAGCACTGTGCTGGTGCTGCTCTTTACCTCTGCATTTCCACTGATGGGATCTTTTCGTTTTTTGCTTTCCAGTACAGCCCTTCTGGGGGGTTTAAAAAAAGGGGGGGAGACAACACAAGGATGCATTCTATGCAGCTAATGATCTTGCTATTTAAGGAGTCCCCTGTCACTTCTCCAGTCCTTTCCTCTGTCTGGTAAAGACTGGATAACAGAGTGATGTTTCAAAGGGGATATTTGAGTTAAATTGACAAAACCCATCATTCAAAAGCATATAAAATAATAATGACATTGGCTAAGTAGTGCAGCTTTAGTAACCAACGGACAGCGGCAGTAGAAGAGTCTTCAGCCCAATGAGTAATCTATTCTGCAAATACCTAATGAATATATAAGGGATAACAAACTATAAATCTTGGCTTAATGCACACATTCAGTGTATTTTTAGATATGATCCTAGTTGTACATATTTATAACTAATTCAAGGGCTTGACTTTATTGCCAAAACCTACTTTTATCCATTTTGTATACATACATAAACAGGCGTAGAAATATGTTTTAATGAGCTCTATTCATTTAAAATTTGCAATGCTCTTAAGTATCTGGAGAATTGAAAGTCAGCCCTTGTCAGTTCATATCCCAAAACTGTCTCTAAGTTAAAGTAGATTTACTAAAAACTAGGCAGTGCCCAGTCAAATCCAGACTTATGACTGAAAGAAATAGAATGCTTCTGTCCCTCCTTTCTGTTCCCTGGTTCTGAGAGATGTTCATGGAAAGCACTTTATGTTTGGCAGCCAGATGTTGGCATTCTCTCAATACAACCCAACAGAGGTGTAGGCAAGATGGGGAAATTCAGGAGTGTACTGATGAGAACATATGGGGCCATGAAAATTTTGCAGTCCAGATAGAATCTTTTCAGAATAACCATTTTAAAGTTTTATAAGCAATTCACCTTTTATTAACTTCCTCTCTTCAATCTCCTTGCATTAATGCAATGATCTCAGAGATCTAATGACATGGCAAGCATGAACTTTATTACAATATGTAATAGTGGTGCTATTTCTTAAGAGAAACTATTGAGCCTACACTGTATGGATCCTCTTACATGAATCATCCAGTGGAAAATATACAGCTTTAAATTTTGGAAATTATATTTTAGAATTTTTGATGTTACACGTGAGATGTCTAGATAGAGTGGGACCCATATAATTTACCTTGGTAAACACTGATTTAAAAATAATATGAAAGCTTTTCAGCACTCAGAAGAGCTCTAAAGTGTTGTCATACGCATATGTGTAATAAGCTTATACATATAATTTTAGGTCATGGTATATGTTTTACCTGTATATCCCACTACATGCCTTTTTGTCAAAGGGAAGTCAGAAGGAAGGATAACAAGCAAACTGGCTGGGCAGGGTGAAATATAATTAAAAGATCTTTTCCTTGGTCCTTTAATGTATTTCCTTTTTCTTGCCTTCTGAGGAATAAATTGTTCAAGAGGCTATTCATTCCTTCCTTGCTTGTGGTTCTCTTAAATACAATTCACTAGATGCCGTTTAGTACCAAAATACCCAAAATATTTTACAATCAGTACAATACCCAAATGATTGAGTTTGACAGTTGCCTTTTGGACTTTATTCATAACATCCATCCACATCTGCCCACCATTTAAAAACTTTAATAGTAAATTATTTTTTTTCCTCTGTTACTAGGAGCTGTTTTCTCATTCCAGACAAAATTCTTGAAGAGGTCGATTCCTTAAGACGTTAAAACACTCTAAATGCTAAACTTGCTTTTCATTCTTCAAGCTGCACATAAAATTCCTAAATTGTCAAGAGTTTGCTTTTTGGTAGGTCACACAATGACGCAGGTCTGACATGTAAAATTCTGGCTGTTAATGCGGTGATGCAGCCAACTGCTCCCATTCCATACTGTTGTTCCTAGTTGTTCCATAGTCTGTTTCTTTGACACCAATAGGTATTCCCTGAAATAGACCACACACAGAGAAGAGAAAAGCAGAGAGAGAAGCAGAGAAAAAGTCGCCAGTCTTAGAATGGGCTTCCTTGGTGACAGACGGGAAAGAATCCGCCAGCAATGTAGGAGACCGGGTTCAATCCCTGGTCAGGAAGATCCCCTGGAGAAGGGGATGGCTTCTCCACTCCAGGATTCTTGCCTGGAGAATTCCATGGACAGAGGAACCTGGCGGGCTATAGTCCATGGGGTCACAAGGAAGGGGACACAACTGAACAGCTAAGCACACATATCTGAAAATACTGTCATCACAGTGTTCAGAAGGGTTAGAAAACATGTCAGTCCCAAGTGGAAACTTATTCTGGGTAATAAAACAAACACAGTGATGTGAAATATTGGTATTTTATACTTTTGAATTAATAGATTCCTATTCTCTAATTTAAAATAGGCTTTCCCAATTTCTAATGTAAGATCCAGTCAAAAAACTAGCAGCAATTCTATCTTAGTTTTGGCTTCAAAAACAAAAATCCCCAAATAATTTTATTCATTAGTATTTAAGAACAGCTGAAGAAGGACAGATATCCTCATCCTCATCCTCAAATCAGCCAAACATACTTTAATTACTCATCCTTCTAACATTTACCCCAAATCACACACTCAACCCTCACAACAACCCATTAATCTGAGTGAGAGATTGGCCAAATGAGAACCTGAAAAGAATAAGCAACCTTTGTGTCACCTCTGTCGGGCATCCCTGGGGAATAAACTTCTAAGCAAAGGTGTATTTAATGATGGATAACACAACCTGGCCTTATTCTGAATTCTCAAATGTGTCCCTCCTCTTCCCAGACTTGCCAGTTAGCGGCTTTGGAAAGTTCTCAAAGGGTCTCCTTTTCCTGACAGAGTATAATTAGAAATGCAGATCCATTTTCCTTTCTGTGTTACATTGATCGTTAGATCAGATTAAAGAACATGCCTGTAGCAGAGGGTTCTGGAGAGTCAGGTGGATCCCACAGGCACCTTTTGGAAAAGATATTTACAAGAAGTCCCCTGAATCAGTTTCCATTGTGTTTCTATGATCCTTAATTTACATCTTTATTTTATGTCTCTTCATTTGCAAGGAAAATTAACCTGTTTTCTCCTCTTTGTTTTTTGCTTCTTTCTCTTTGCAGGAGGCATTGAATTTTTCATCAGAGACCTTCAGAAGACGTATTGCAGGATTCTGTAATAATGAACATGTGGAAAGTATTAGAAATATTTATTGTCTGTAAATATTGTAAATGGCATTGGAATAAAACTGTCTCCCCCATTGCTCTATGAAACTGCACATTGGTTATTGTGAATATTTTTTTTTTTGCCAAGGCTAATCCAATTATTATTATCACATTTACCATAATTTATTTTGTCAACTGATGTATTTATTTTGTAAATGTATCTTGGTGCTGCTGAATTTCTATATTTTTTGTAACATAATGCACTTTAGATATACATATCAAGTATGTTGATAAATGACACAATAAAGTGTCTTTATTTTGTGGTTGATCTTAATGAATGCCTAAATATAATTATCCAAACTGATTTTCCTCTGTGCATGTAAAAATAGCAGTATTTTAAATTTGTAAAGAATGTCTAATAAAATATAATCTAAATTACATCATGACTCAGAAGGTGAATTTTATGTATATATATCCTTTAAGATTTCTAGTAGAAGGAACATGATGTAATTTTTAACCGTATTTGAATATGGTCTTAAGTTTAATATATTTATATTGGTACAAAGTCCAACATTTTCACATTAGCTTTTAGTTTAAAACCACTTAAAATGTGGTTTTAATTATTTTGTCCAATATTTAAGTTCAGTTCAGTACAATGGCTGAGTTATCTAGACATCATTTTATGAAGTACATCCTATTCAAAGTGAAGAGTGGAGAGGGCAGAAAAAAAGCAGAGAAAAGTCAGGAGAAAAAAATTAAAGAAACTTAGTCCAGAGAGTTAGCCGGAGATGAAAAACAGGGAGAGAGGAAGATCAGGAACTTTAAGGCCAGGGGTAATTTTACCCAGTGTAAGGTTTAATTTGAGAGAGCTTGCCCTTATGGGTCAACAGTAAGAGCTGCTTGAGAATTCTACCTGGGTTAACCTTTCCTACCAGTGAATGAAGAGGGACTCAGGTTTGGGAGATATGTGGCAATTCAAAGAGCCTTCACTGGTGAAGATGTCTTTCCTGGGACACCCCACTTCCAGGGACCATGGTTGCAAACAGCGCATATGTAATACCACACTCAATCCCCTTTCCATTTTGCATATCATCCTGGTTGTTCCTACTTCTATTTTCAAATGAAAACACAAACACCTTCTTTCCACAGAATCTTTTTCTTTGCATCTGAGAACTCATCAGTGAAAAACAACACAGCAAAACAAAAGGCCATTAGGAAGTCGTTTGTTTGGTCTCAGCATCATGTTAAGAATCTGTTAGATGTCTGGCGGATACCCAGAAAGTTCTAAATGCCCCCAAGACTCTCTCTCCAGTGGGTAGAGAATACATACATGTACATGAAACAACTAAAATGATGTACTCAAGAACCTGAGATAATCCAAAATTCTAAGAACTTTTAAAAACGGGGGAAAATCACATAGGGAGAGATTAGTCTGAGCTGGATATGAGTAGGATAATGTTTCTGGGAGGAATATTCTAACACTGAACTTATTCATAATTTCACTTGAGGCTCACAGCCTTGAAAACAGGACCCATCTTACTATTTTGGGTAAGAATGTTGAACCGAGGACTTCCCTGGTAGTCCAGTGGTTAAGACTTTGCCTTTCAATGCAAGGGGTGCGTGTTCAATACCTGATTGGCGAGCTAAAGTCCCACATCCCTCGTGGCCAAAGTACCAAAACATAAAACAGAAGCAGTATTGTAACAAATTCAACAAAGACTTTAAAAATGGTCCACATCCAAAATAAATCTTTAAAAAAATTTTTGAAAATTAAGAATGTTGAACACATGTTAGTAAACAAACAAGAGAGTTTGTGCTTATCTTCAATTATGAATTTGTTGGATATTTGTAAGGAATGCACAGATGTTAAGCCCAATACACTAAACCTGTATAAAGCAACTAGCTTGGAAAGTCTTAAAACCAGATATAATCACATTTTTTCAAAATTCTGTCTGAAACTCTAAATCTTAAGACTACATCAAATCCTTATGTTATTCACATGAAAACTGTTTTTTAAACACTAAATTGGTAAATACCTGGACATTACAGCAGGGAAACATCAGATTCAAGTCATCTTTAAGCTCTTCTTCACAAAAATCTATTCCTGAAAAATAAAAGCAGAATTGATAGCTATCAGTTCTGACCAAAATATTATTAATGCATTTATTACCTTCAATCATATCTTCAGTCTTCAGGCAGTGATGAGCAGTAAAATCACAGCATAGGGGATGGAATGGGATGATGGAAGAAGCAAAAAAATTCCTTTGGTGGAAAAAAGTCATTTTTTGATATTGTTATTTCCTATGAAAGAAAAACTGAAATATATAATTTAAGATAATAAGTGTTTGAATGTAAATAAAGTCTTAGCAAATTACAGTCTAAGTGAACATGGTTCAGGCTTGACTTAAGTAATGTTTTAAATAAACTCAAGTTGGACTAAGTATTCAGAAATTAATAAATAAAACCTAATTTACTAACTTGCTATTGCCTTCCTCAAATTTTATTCAGACAGAAATTTTATATTTAATTAGACTCCTAATACACATTTATGGAAACTGGGGAGTCCAATTACAAAAGACAAGAGTTGAACTTATGTGTGAAGACCTTATTCCTTTCCTCTCTGTTTTCTTAGCCATTGTTGTGAAACAGGTGCAGGACTACATTAAGTGCTGAACCCAAATCAGTGTGGATGTTATTGGTCCTGAAAATATTATAAAATCATGATTGGTATGTCCCTTTCTTGTTACAAAAATTAGTTGGGAATGGAGGCAGCATCAATCTGTGAAATATAGAGAAATTGAAGCTTTTCTTAGGAGAAAGCATAGTCACATACCTTGAAGGTTAAGAGTTTAATTTTAATTTCCCATTACCTAACCTTAGTACCTATTGAGCAAAGTAGCTATTTAACTTTCTATAACCACCATACAAGGACAAAGGGAAGGAATCTTTTTAAAATTCAAAACGTTCCTTAATATACCATGTGTAGTGGACCCAACCAGAAGCACAAACTTAAGTGTTTCTTTAGTTTTATCTCATAGTCAAGTCATTCAAGAACGCTCTGAAATACGGTTTAAAAGATGCCCAAAGTGCTTAAAGAACAAAGCTAATGCCTTTTGTAAGAAATTCTGAAATGCTTAGACCATCACAGGGCATTAACTTTAAGATAATTCAGAGCTTGACTCTAGAGTACCTTACAGTTTAATTGCTATTTTTCCCATTGGCCACGAAGTCCATGGGAAAACAGAACCAGCCGTGGACAGAGAAATATGTCGAAATTCGGAGGGTTCATCTTCTGTGGCATGCACTTTTATGGAGAGATCTAAGTGTTCCCAGGAAGTATTCCCAGTAGAGCCATCATTTCTTCCTTAAACAAAGGTTAAAAGACATTCCAAGCACAAATGTTGGCCACTTCCTTTTATTTAATAACCCAGAAGGTGTTAAGAGTAAGACTACTATCAAAGATTCTATTATACAGTTAGCAAAACATGACCACGTGCTAAATTCCTCGGAAGGACTCAACGGAACAACTCAGAGGAGGTATTAAACATCAGTAGCTATGAAGATTCCAAAGGCTGAAAATATTACTTCAGTGAATTATATTATCATGTGTCCTGAGTCAGTCCTTTAAGAGAAGCACTATTCCTCAAAGTTGCCAGTGTTACTTCACTAATTATTTTGTGAACTTCTTAAGGACAGAAACCTTGTCTTAGTCAATATACACCATCCAACACTACATTAGTACACTGCCTTAGTACATAGCAGGTGCTCAAGAAATACTCCTGGAACAGACTTTAAAAGTTCTTTCAGTTTCAGGATGAATAGACTAAAAAGCAGAGTTAAGCAGAAAAGTCTGCTGGAGGCAGGCGGTAAATCAGAGGTTTGAGTATTTCAGATTCCTGTGCCATGCCATTCTCTTATTTCAATAGCAAGAAGCTCAGAGAATGACCAACTGCTCCAAGTTATCAACTACTCACCAGGGTATGCTTTGTTTTTCAGCTTCTGCCTTAAGAGGAAATTTTCCAGCCTTGAAAATACAAGAAGCAAGGGTTTGTGTTGAGTATGCAGCAACCTCCCAGAGGAAGGGAGGAGAATTTAAAATATCAGGTATTTGTCCTATGAATACACTGCACAGAAGTTACCCACAGGGCCCACTTGTGTGCAAAGAGGCCCACTGCTGTGTCGTCAGAAGATTAATGGACACAGTTCCCAACTAGAGCTCCACAGCATCAGGATGAGAGCATTCACATCTCTGTATAAGTTCCTGATACACGCACGCTTACAAGCGCAAAGCACAAGGGACATGCTTTCAAACTGCTTTTTAATTAAACGTCAAAACATCTTCCAAAGAATTTCTTTACGTTTTCCTCCAAACTGGAAGACGTTAACAAATGACACAATGTGTCATCTCTGAAAAAATGGATTGTTTTAATGGTGACCCCTACTCTTCGCCAAATCCAAGTTGCTTCGGGATCTGAAAAGCAAACTAACCCATCCATCTTATATTTGAGCTCACTGGCTGGTCACCAAACATCTGCAGAACACCTCTGTTGAACCGCCCTGTGTTCTACAAAATAAAAGCAAAATAATAACAAACTGCACCACGGTGGATTTAGTAATTCTGTTTTCACATTATTCTTTCTTTTATTCACTATGAGCTTTAGTATAACTCTTGAGTCAATGTAGAATACAAACAATACCATGAAGTGTTGTCTCATAGCTGTCTATGGGTGAAAGAAGCTAGAAAACAGGCATATTGCCTTAAGAATTTTTTCTTTCGGATGACAGAGTGAGATATTCTTAATTCATCAAGAATTAGAAATCCTATTCCATAGCATTATTTTATGACATTATAGCAACTGGTATGCCATAATGAATAAGTTAACCTAACACATTACCTCATATGAGAGCTAATGCTTGTTTTCAACGAGCTCACTAAGCCTAGGTTGCAATCCTAATTTACACTCTAAT